CCGCCTAAGAGTGTGTTTGGAGCTCCTGCTACTGCTGACACCAATGCACCTGCAGCACCTATGTTCAAGAGTGTGTTTGGAGCTCCTGCTACTGCTGACGCCAAGGCACCTGCAGCGGAACCGCCTAAGAGTGTGTTTGGAGCTCCTGCGACTGCTGACGCCAAGGCACCTGCAGCAACACCGTTCAAGAGTGTGTTTGGAGCTCCTGCTACTGCTGACGCCAAAGCACCTGTGGCAACACCGTTCAAGAGTGTGTTTGGAGCTCCTGCTACTGCTGACACCAAGGCACCTGCAGCAGCACCTCCTAAGAGTGTTTTTGGTGCTCCTTTGACTGATAATATTCGTGGAGAGGTATGTAGTTCTGTGAGTGGTGATGATGGTCTATCAGGTGCTTTGTGTAATCATGGTTCTGGTATTTCTGTTTTTGTTCCACCTGTTATTCCGTCCATGGATGATGTGGATGATGTGGTCTCATCGTTGGTCTGCAACATAAGGAAAGAAATTCCATCCTTGTTTAAGATTCCCATGGTCCCCTTAAATGATGATACTGATGGTTTCTTTGATAATGGTAGCAAGGGTGATGAAAATAATGCTTTAGATGTTGTAAAGAGTACTGAAAGTGTGTACGACGTAACCACTGTGGTGAGTACGTTCCAGCATATGTTGGAAACATTTAGAACCGAGTTAATATCAGATTTGAAAAAAGAGTTCCAACTCGTTTTACCCCCTTGTAAAGAAGGTGAGTGCGATAATAGAACAATGTCTTTGACGATGAGAAACAACGCAAGGAATAAAACCACATGCGGTGATGATGCTGGACGGTTATATGCAATGCGAGCCCATCTGGCAAATGCGTTTCGTAAACAGTATTGATGTTCTAATTAAAAAAAAAAAAAATCAATGTAGAAAGAGGTAGTGTGACAATTAATTTGAACGAGTTTTTTGTTTTTTTAGTCTATAACAACCGTTTTTTTTTTTTTTTTTATCTCATTCTTTTAGATTATTCTAACTTCCGAAAAGAAAAAAAAAAGAATGGCTTTCCAGCCCTCAAGACTAGATGCAGTCTGCGAAGATGTGCACGCTGATTTCACATCATCTGATCTAGAAAGTATTCAATGCCTCTGTCAGCAAGTAAGACTCTTGCGTGTAAGTGCGCAGCGCCTTGTAATGGAACACATACCTTCACTTGCAGCAGACATAACCTCACTTCAAGAGTCTCACCTAACATTTACGTTGGGTGGAGCTCCTAATAATCAACTCGAAGAAGGAATAAATTGTCCTGCAGGTTTAGTTCTTGGTGCACAATCCCTATTTTCTCATTGCAAGAAGTTGACATCTGATGTGACTCGAGGTGTACACAGGCTATGCGATAATAAACGTGTCCCTAAGAATTTGTACGCTATTGGTTACACACCTCACTATTACAGAAAACGCTGTCCACATTACACGAGTTCACAAATGTCACCTACTGTTACTGTAGAAGAGCATCAGTACACTTCCGCCAACAATAAAACAAATACGAGAGATTCACCTCAACCACAAGCAACGCAGAGTGCAAACAAAACAGTAACAGCAGAAAATGAAAATCCTCTGGATCAGGGTCGTCAGCAGAAAATGTATTCTGACAAACCATCACCATTTGGACAGGCAACGGCAGGAGCAGGAACAGAGGTCAAGCCATCACCATTTGGACAGGCAACGGCAGGAGC